AGGGAAGGACAGCACACACTACAGGGGAAGTCAGCACAACTGGATTAAACCAAAGCTAAGACGTTTCCTGAATACAATTAAACACTTTGAGGGACAGAGTAGCAGGGCTAGGGGTCTGGGGACCATGCTTTCAGGGGACATCTAGGTCAACTGGCATAACAAAGCTTATTAAGAAAATGTGATGCATCCTACTTTGGTGAGTGGCATCTGGGGTCTTAAAAGCTAGCAAGCGGCCATCTAAGATGCATCAATTGGTCCCAACCACCTGGAATAAAGGAGAATGAAGAACACCAAAGACACAAGGAAACTAGTAGCCCAAGAGACAGAAAGGGCCACGTAAACCAGAGACTTCATCAGCCTGAGACCAGAAGAAAGAGATGGTGCCCGGCTACCACCAATGACCGCCCTGACAGGGAACACAACAGAGAGTCTCAGACGGAGCAGGAGAAAGGTAGGGTGCAGAACTCAAATTCTAGTAAGAAGATAAGACTTAATGGTCTGACTGAGACCGGAGGAACCCTGGAAAGCATGGCCCCTGGATTCTCTATCAGCCCAGAACTAAAACAATTTCCGAGGCCAACTCTTCAGACAGGGATTGGACTGGACTGTGGGACATAAAGGGATACTCTTGAGGAGTGTGCCTCTTAGCTCAAGTAGATACAAGAGACTAAACGGGCAGCTTCTGTCCGGAGTTGAGATGGGAAGATAGTCAGGGTTTGGAGCTGGTTGAATGGACATGGGGAATCAGGAGTAGAAAGGAGGAGTGTGCTGTCACAGTATGGGGAGAGCAATTAGAGTCACATACAATGTATGTATAAATTTTTGTATGGGGAAAAAATTTTAAAAAAAGAATATATACAGCAAAGTATATATCAATTCAACAGTTTCTACACGCACAATTTAGTGACATTGATTAAACTCTTCAAGTTGTGCAATCATTCTTACCCTCCTTTTCTGAGTTGTTCCTCCCTCATTAACATAAATTTACTCCCCTCTAAGGTTCCTATCTAATCTTTTGAGTTACTGTCACCAATTTGATCCCATATAGATAGTTCTGAATAACAACCTTTTAAATAACAATTCTCTAATGTTTATCTAATTGAGACAGATTATCCAAGTCACTTAGTAACAACATATTTGGTTTGGAACAAAAAAAAAAAAGCATTACCTGTAACATCTTAATTATTTCTCCTTTTAACTTACTTTATAGTATCTGCAAAGCTGACTCGACGAGAGCTTTTCCTATTTCTCACAGGATTGGATTCCTAAGGGCAAAGAATATATGGTACAATTCTTAATAAAATTGCTGTGAATTAGGTCTCCAGAGTACTAACTATGAACGGAGATCAGGTCTTAATAAATTCTGAATTAATTTGATATGATTCTCAAAAATATCCCAATGTAGCAGCTCCTGTCCAAAGGCGAGATAAGAAGGCAAAAAAGGACAGGAGCTGGTTGAATGGACACGGGAAATCCGGGGTGGAAAGGAGGTGTGTGCTGTCACGTTATAGGGAGAGCAACTAGGGTCACATAGCAATGTGTGTATAAATTTTTGTATGAGAAACTAACTTGAACTGTAAACTTTCACTTAAAGCACAATTTAAAAATCCCACTGTGGAACTTAGCAAACATGAATATGATTTCCAGTGTGAGTGATAATAAGCATACTGGCACAAACAACACGTTTAGGAAAGGTGATTACTCTTCTTACCTTGTCTCACTCCTATTAAATGAACGGTTATTTTGCTATCAAGAAGAAGAAAGAGGGAAGGCAAAGCAAGTGATATGCTGCCTGTTATGGTACTTACACTATAACACACTATTTTTATTTTTTCTCCCTACCTTCTTCCTTAACAAGAGAAACATTTCTACTCACATAGTTATCAAACACAAATAACAAAAGAGAGAGAAACAAACAAAATTCAATATTTTACTAGAATATTACTGGATTAATTCTAAATATCTGAGCATAATTTTTATAATAATCAGGAATAGTTATTCCCTCTGCATCCAGCAATATATGTGGTTAAGGCCCTAGCAGACACTGTAAGTAACCTTGAGCCTAATATGACAACGATAATACAGACATAGTAAATACCGAGACTAACAGAGATTAATGTATTTCTTACTAAAAAAAAAAAAGCTGAAATTTGTGTAGTATATTAGAAAGAGCACTCAGCTAGAAATGAGGCGATTAGAGCTTCAGTTTGAGGCCTGCCACCAGCTAGCTGTGTGGACAAAACACTTAACCTCTTTGGATCTCGTATTTCTCATCTATCAAATGAAGGAACTCAGATTTAAGATTACTGATGAGGTCCTATTGAACCTGTGAGTCTATGAATCTGTCATTTACTCCCTCAACATTCATTCAACTAAAAAAATACACACACACCAGGCCCTGTTCTCAGTGATAGAAATATAGTGGTAAAGGGAACACTGCCCTAGCGGGGATTAGATGAATGGCAAGACAGACATTAAAACAAAAAATCACACAAATATAAAATTCAAGCGTGAAAAGCGCTTTAAAGGAGAATAATAAAAGATCTAACTTAGCTTGGGAATCGGGGAAGATTTCTTTGAGGAAGTAGATTTAAGCTGAGACTTGAAGGATTAGTTAGAAGTTAGCCAGATGAAGAACTGCGTAGGGGGAAAGCACTCTAGGCAGAAAGTGTGCAGTGGCTGTAAAGCAGGAAAAAGCCTGATGCATTTGAGAAAAAAAAGGATCAGAGAGGCCAAAGCAGAGTGCACCCTGGGAATTATATGGCCTCCAAAACCACACGCATTTCATTAATCAACAAAACGTACTGGAAGCCAACTACGTACCAGGTAATACAAATACAAAAACACATGATAAAACTCCTGTCCACAAGGAGTTCTCAATTTAGCATGGACAGAAGTAAAACATTACAATAGAAGGTGTTAAGGGATGATTTTCTGAAAGGAGTGATACATACCAAAGTTGAGTCTTGAAGGACAAGTAGGAATTAACCAAATAAAGAAGAGGGTCAAGAGATTTATGATAAAGCAAGTATGATAAAAAGTTGATTGTAGAATTTAGGTGATGAATACCAGTATACGAGTGTTCACTGTAAAACTCTACTTTTCTATAAGTTTGAAACATTTTTAATAACAGGTGGGGGGCAGAGAATGAGGGACTAGCCATCTGGACAGAGGGAAGAGCATGTGTAAACACTTGCAGACTTGACAGCTCATGTGTTATCTGGATAACAGTAAGTAATTCTGAACAGCAAAATACGTGTGTGAGAGTGGCAAGAAAGAAGACTGGAGAAGCAAACGGGGTTAAATCATGAATGCCAGGCATGTTAAAGTGTTTGGATTTTAACCTGAAGGACATGGGATGCTTACTTGTACACATTCAACTGGGAATCATTTATGATGTTTTATATTCATATAGTTAATAAAGTTCCTGACGATTAAAAATATCACCGCAAATAGCCATTTATAAAGCATTTGTACTAGAGACTTACCGGAACTGCTTCATTCCCACTTCTGAGGTCCTGAAGAGGACTCCTTGGGGGTTTTAAAATCTAGAGGTAATAGAATTATTCCACAAAATTTGGCATACCGATTGGTGATCAGTTCAAGTTACACTATGAGTAGAAATGTAGAGGTGTGAAAATTCTCATAAAAACCTCTAAAACTCCTCAAATTCATACTGCTCTGTGCTATACTCTGTGACTAGTGGCATTTTTGGAACACCTGGTTGGTAAATTATGCCTAAAACCATTCCCACCTTTGGATTTTCAGTTTCATAAGCCAATAAATATAAATTTTTTGCTTAAATCATTTTGAGTTAGATTTTTTTGTGTCTTTCAACAACTTTGTACATGTTAAGTATATTTTAAAACAGCTTCATTGAGTTATAATTTACATACCATAAAATTCATCCGTTTTAAGTGTACAATCTAATGATTTTTTTAAATGTGTGAAAATATACATAACAAAACTTACGTCAACTCAATAGTTTCTACCTGTACAATTCAGTGACAAGGATTGCGGTCTTCAAGTTGTGTAACCATTCTCGCTATTCTTTTCCAAATCATTTCACCACCATTAACATAAACTCAATGCCACCTAAACAAAAATTCCACCTTTTCCTCTCCCTCCCACCACTGGTAACCACTAGTAATCTCTGCTTTCTGTATATTTGCATATTTCATGTAAGTGGGATCATACAGTGTTTGTCCTTTGGGGACTGACATTTCATTCAACACTGTTTTCGAGGTCTATTCATGTTGTAGCATACACCAGGACTTCATTTCTCTTCATGGCTGATTAGTATCCTACTGTATGTATATATGGCATTTTGTTTATCCATTCACCTATCCATGGACATTTAAATTGACAATCTAATGGTTTTTTAGTACAGTTACAAAATTGTGTAACCAGGTTAAATATTTGAATCTTTATCCATAGAGAAATAAAAAGCCAGTGGAGGTGGGTGGGGAACCCACAATCAAAATTACTGTAGTATACAGTCATCATTCAATAAAAGGTAACAATTATTAGTTTAAATAAATGTTTCTTACTGAGGAATGCCGTCTTCTAACAGTTCTCGCTATCTTGTCACTGAAAGAGGAAAAGCACAAATATTTATCTATACATTGGTAAAAGACTAATTCCCATAAACCATCACCACAGCACCCCTTACGTGCTTTTAAACTGGCCAGCACTTTCATTTTGTACTCTGGGCAGCAAAATTTATATTACAAGATTTTAAATTCAGTATTTAAGAAGTCAGTGTTTTAAAATACATATTGTATACAAGACTATCTCTTTAAAAACAATGTAGTACAACATAATTTACCATATCTACGGAGATATAAACAGGCTATAAATCAAGAGACTCTAGCTCTGGTTTTACCGCTGTGTGATTTTTAGACTAGGTTTTGAAAATTCAAATGTCTATGGAAGCCAAGCAGATAATCTGGCAGATATAAGAAAAATAGGGAGTGTTGAGACTGTAATGTTATGGCTAGGTCTTACTAGTTGGGAAATTATCTTTCTCTGATTAAGAGTATAACATTTTTAGCTACGTTGAATGAACTTACTTTTCTTCATTAGCCTCTGAACACACCCCATCCATTTTTGAAGAAACTTTTTCTGTAACAAACACACAATATTAGAAAAGGTAAGAAAGGAAGAAGAGAAATCACAATCTGTGAAGAGTTTAAGAGCATACTGTGACTTCAGGGTTACTTTCTGAGGGAAGACACAGAAAAAGAAAGAAACTATATAATGAGGCTATATAAGAAAGTCTACAGAGTTTAAACCACTCTGTTATAATTAACATCTCTGAAAAATTCTCATATTTGAGATAAAATCAGTGACTAATGCTCTGATTGGAATGATATGAATATTACTTGTCCAAACAAGTATATGAGAGTTATGGATTACATAATAATTCAACTCTAAAATGGAAGTCAGTTAAATAACAAAATACAGTGGATTTACATCATATGCATATTTATCTTACAAAAAGTAAATAAAGTATAAAGAAAAAATTTTAAGACATAAAAATAACATTTTCAATAGTGCAGCTGATTATGATTGAAATTCTACTCAATGAGTATTTGTCCTAGAAAAAGTGGAAAATAAAAGGTATAACCTGAAGTTTCCTCAGCTGGTCTTGGTTCCTAGTTATCTCTTACTCATGGAGCATGAATCTGTTTAAAAATACATATATTTTTGTAACCTGCTCCTGGTCCTAAATGTTTCATCTATAATTTAACCAAAGAAATAGGGAAGTGTTCTGACCTGTGTAGGGAGGGATGAGGAGGGAAAGACTAGCTGGATTTACTGAGAGGTGGGATGTCCATTGTAAACCTATGTGAGAAAAGACACTATTATTCATACAGGGCTTGAACCTGGAAATAGGGAGAGCTAGATGTACTACAGTAATCTTGGAATCATAGGGACTGTCTGATAATGGAGATTACCCAGAGGAAGAAGAGTCAGAGCAGAAAAAGAGAAAATGAAATCCTAGTGCTGGTGACATTGTTGGAATACTTGGTCATTGAGTTGGGCCTAAAGCCACTACTATCTTTGGAGTTTACAGTTTTAAAAGCCAATAAATTACTATATATAACAAAGCAAAACAGTGCTTTAAAGGTAAAAGTTTAACTATACAGTACTCTATTTTCATTTTATGCATTGACTTTAGAATCTCACTCCTAGGTAAGATAAAATTCCATTTGCACATTAAAAAAAAACGTTGTTGTTGTTAGGTGCTGTCAAGTTGGTTCTGACTCATAGTGACCCTACGCACCACAGAACGAAACACTACCCAGTCCTGTGCCATACTCACAATCGTTGTTATGCCTGAGCCCACTGTTGCAGCCACTGTGTCAGTTCATCCTCTTGAGGGTCTTCCTCTTTTTCGCCGACCCTGCATGATGTCCTTCTCCAGGGACTGATCCCTCCTAAACAACATGTCCAAAGTATGTAAGACATAGTCTTGCCATCCTTCCTTCTAAGGAGCATTCTGGCTATACTTCTTCCAAGACAGATTTTTTCATTCTTTTGGCAGTCCATTGTATATTCAATATTCTTCGCCAACACCACAATTCAAAGGCGTCAATTCTTCCTCGGTCTTTTTGACAACTATATTAGTATTTCTACCACAACAGTAGATTAATACCATGTACATAAACAGAGTGAATGTTCTTACTTTTAGTCATAAGTGAACAGGTACCTAAAAGATGTCCTATTTTACATGCTTTCATCTTACATAACAGAAGCCAAATTAGGACACAATACTTCATAATGAACCTGAACTTCAAATTGACATAAAAGTCTGCTTATTTGTATCCAAGTAGCTGTCAATGTAGACAATATAGGAACCTCTGGGTATGCAAACAGTTAAGCACTCAACTATCAACTGAAAATTAAGCAGTTTGAACCCACCCAGAGGTGCTCCAGAAGAAATGCCTGATGATCTGCTTCCGAATGATCACAGCTTCGAAAATCCTATGGAGTGCAGATCTATTCTGCCACACACTGGGTTGCCATGAGTTGGAATCAACTCAATGGCAACTGGTGGTAGACAAGATGATGGACATTTTCTAGGGTTTGATCTCTGATCTCCTTTTGCTCTCCATCACTTTCTCTGGATGCTTATCCATTCTTATGATGTCATTTACCTCCTGTTCACAAATAATACCCATATCTACTTAAAATACTCTTTTAAATTTTTTTAATTTTAGTTTTTATGTTTTTCAAAGTTATACATGCACATTATATGAATAAGGAACACTCCAGCTGTACTTCTTCCAAGACAGATTTGTTCGTTCTTCTGGCAGTCCACGGTATATTCAATATTCTTCATCAACACCATAATTCAAAGGCATCAATTCTTCAGTTTTCCTTATTCACTGTCCAGCTTTCGCATGCATATGAGACGATTGAAAATACCATGCTTTGGGTCAGGTGCACTTTAGTCTTCAAAATGACATCTTTGCTTTTGAACACTTTAAAGAGGTCTTCTGCAGCAGATTTGTCCAATGCAATATGTCATTTGATTTCTTGACTGCTGCTTCCATAGGCATTGATTGTGGATTCAAGTAAATGAAATTCTCGGCAACTTAAAATTTTTCTCCGTTTATCATGATGTGGCTTATTTGTCCAGTTGTGAGGATTTTTGTTTTCTTTATGTTGAGGTGTAGTCTATGCTGAAGATTGTATCTTAATCTAACAGTATCAAAAAAACCAACAGTAAAAATCAACTTAATAGTGAAACTTTGAAAATATTCCCTTTGAGATCGGAAAAAAGGACTGCTATTTCCACTTCTATTAAATCCATCATCAAGTCTTAGTAGATCTATTTCCAATATATATCCCAAATTCATTCACTTCTCTCTTTAGTGCCACCCCCATAATTCAAGCTACCATCATCTGTCTCTCATGTGGAATACTGCAATAGTCTCCTCCGTAGTCTCCCTACTTTCACGCTTATCCCCTTCAATCCTTTCTCCATTCAGCAGCCAGTTATCTTCTTGAAACATAAAATACATTTAAGACATTCCCTTTAAGTGACTTTCTATTATACTGAGAAGAAACTCTTCACTAGGACCTAATAAAGAAGCCCTGGTGGCGCAATGGTTAAGCACTTGGCTGCTAACCAAAAGGTCAGTGGTTCTAACTCACCAGCAGCTTGACCTGGCAATCTGCTCCTTGTAAAGATACAGCTTAGGAAACCCTACCAGGCAGTTTTACTCTGTCCTATAGGGTCACTATGAATCAGAATTAACTCAATTTCACACAAAAACAACAGGACATACAAAGCCCTACAAGACTTGGTCCCTGCTTGCCTCTCAGACTTCAGACTTCATCTCATACCACTCTCTTCTTCACTCAGTATGCCAGCTACACTGGCCTTTCTACTCATGCGCACTCAAAGCTCTTTCCTGAGTCAATGCATTCATATTTGCTATTCTCTCTCAGGGAGCCCTGGTGGCACAGTGGTTAAGCCTTGGCTGCTAACCAAAAGATTAGCAGTTCGAATCCACCAGTCGCTCCTTGGAAATCCTATGAGGCAGTTCTACTGTGTCCTATAGGGTTGCTATGAGTAGGAATTGACTCGATGGCAACGGGTTTGGTTTTTCTTTGTTTGTTTATTCCCTCTTGAGAGCCTCGGAAACCCTATGGGGCAGTTCTACTCTGCCCTATACAGTGGCTTTGAGTTGGAATCAACTAGATGGCAACGGGTATTCTCTCTTGGCAAGAAAGCACCGTTTGTAGCACTGTGTATGTATCCTTTGTAGCATTACCACAACTGTAATTTAAAAGTCTGCATGTAAATTAATTATTCCTGTTATCTTCCTAAATGACCCCTGCCCCAACAGCTGGTATCTATGTTTACTGTTATAGTCTAAGAGCCTACCACAGTGCTTTGTAAATAGTAGGATCTTAATAAATATTTATTGAATGAGTAATTAAGAAGCAAATATTTAAAGTTACCTTTATGATTACAGACTTGCATAATTTTTCTCCTTTTCAAGATGGATCAATTCATTCTATTCCATTTGTAAATACCCCCATGCATCTGTCAGTTTGTTGTACTGTGGGGGCTTGTGTGTTACTGTGATGCTGAAAGCTATGCCACAGGTATTCAAATACCAGCAGGGTCACCCATGGTGGACAGGTTTCAGCTGAGCTTCCAGGCTAAGACAGACTAGGAAGAAGGACCTGGTGGTCTACTTCTGAAAAAATTAGCCAGTGAAAACCTTATGAATAGCGGAACATCGCATGATACAGTGCGGGAAGATGAGCCCCTCAGGCTGTGAGGCACTCAAAAGATGACTGGAGAAATGGTGTATCTTTGGCTATGTGTATTTTCACCAAAAAAAAAAAAGGTTGAGAAGTTAGAGGGTTGACATGTTGTGGGGTTGTTAACCAATGTCGTAAAGCAGTATGTGTACCACTGTTTCATGAGAAACTATTTGTTCTCTAAGCCTTCACCTGAAGTACAATAAAAAAATTAAATTAAATTAAATTAAAGATAAAAAAAAAAAAGATGACTGGGGAAGAGCTACCTCCTCAAAGTAGAGTCGATCTTAATGACGGGGATGGAGCCAAGCTTTTGGGACGTTCATTTGCTGATGTGGCACGACTCAAAATGAGAAGAAATAGCTGCAAACATCCATTAATAATAGGAAAGTGGAATGTACGAAGTAAGGACATCATACTTGGTAAAGTTGAGGGTCAGTGAAAAAGAGGAAGACTCTCAACGAGATGGACTGACATAGGGGCTGCAACAATGGGCTCAAGCATAACAACAACCATGAGGATGGTGCAGGACTGGGCAGTGTTTCATTCTGTTGTCCATAGGGTCACTGTGATTTGGAAATGACTCGACAGCACCTAACAACATTTGGAAATACTTTCAAACTCAGTGCACATATTCAAAATTCACAAATAAAAATATTAAATACTATCAACTCAAGATCACATATATGTTTCTGCTGTTTGAGATATAACTATTATTCCCATCTAAACTGCAAACCAGTTGGAAATTCACTGATGAGATTCAAAGATTAGTCTGAAGTCATGTTTTTTAAGTAATATTCTATTATGGTTAAACTCCTGATTATTGCCACATTGATTGTTTCCAAAACTGTGCGCCTGGCACCAGGGGCGGGGCAGCAGTCTCCCAGAGGTGTCCTGGGATATTTTAAATTTTTGCGAGAAACACATCAATTCTTGACATCTGTCAGGCAGTGTGTGAACTACTAGCTCAAAACAGTACCCATTCACATTAGTCATTTTGATGATGTCATTAAGAAGCCGAATTTTTGGCACTGCCGTGATAAAAAGCAAATACCTTTTATCAATATGGCACAGTAAATGAGGATGGCAGTGTCCAATCTGATTCCAAGGTTTGGGAAGGTGTGCAGTGTCCAATAAGCATACATCCCATTAGTAACTGTGACTATCTAAAAATAAAATAAAAATATTATCTTTTCCTTCAATTTATGTGTATTATTCTTTCCAATGGCCACTAGTGATTAGGACATAAATACTTATTAAGCGTTTGGACCTAATTACTTAATAAATAGAACTGTTAGGTATTTCTTTTGGCCTAAGGGTGCCGTAAACCATGAAAGTTTGGGGACCTCTGTCTAAATAATCCAGAGGTCTGCAAACTACCACCACTGGGCCAAAGTGGCCCTTGAGCTAAGATTGGTTTTTGCATTTTTAACAGGCTGTAATAAACAAACAACAACAACAAAAGAAGAATATGTGACAGAGACCATGTAGCTGCAAAGTCTGAAATATTTACTATCTGGCTCTTTGTTTGCCCATTCCTACTTTCAGACTACCAGTATCTAGAGTCGGTATTTTCCATAGTGTTCACTGACAGAGGCTGTAGACCTGTGCTGTCCAATATGATAGCTATTTAAATTTAAATTAATTAGAATGAAATAAAATTAAAAATTCAGTTCCACAGTCACAGTAGCCACATTTCAAGAGCTCGTAGTCACATGTGGCTAATGGGTAACATGTTGGACAATGCAGACATAGAACATTTCCATTATATCAGGAAGTTCTACTGGGCAGCACTATCCTACTATTAATACCTAGAGTCAGAATCTTCCATAGTCTTTTTTTAAAAAAAATAATTTTATGTTGTTGTTGTTATTGAGAGTATGCACAGCAAAACATACACCAATTCAACAGTTCCTACACGTACCATTTAGCGATACAGATTACATTCTTCATGTTGTGTAACCATTCTCACCCTCCTTTTCTGAGTTGTTCTTCCCCCGTAACATAAACTCACTGCCCTCTAAGGTTCCTATCTGATCTTTCAAGTTACTATTGTCCCCTATAGGTAGT